GGCTTTTGTTTGTTGGAAGATTTTTAATCACAGTTTCAATTTCAGCGCTTGTGATTGGTCTGTTCATATTTTCTATTTCTTCCTGATTCAGTCTTGGTAGGTTGTGCTTTCCTAAGAATTTGTCCATTTCTTCTAGATTGTCCATTTTATTGGCATAGAGTTGCTTGTAGTAGTCTCTCATGATCTTTTTTATTTATGCAGTGTCCGTTGTTACTTCTTTTTCATTTCTAATTCTATTTATTTGAGTCTTCTCCCTTTTTTTCTTGATGAGTCTGGCTAGTGGTTTATCTATTTTGTTTATCTTCTCAAAGAACCAGCTTTTAGTTTTATTGATCTTTGCTATTGTTTCCTTCATTTCTTTTTCATTTATTTCTGATCTGATTTTTATGATCTCTCTCCTTCTGCTAGCTTTGGGGTTTTTTTGTTCTTCTTTCTCTAATTGCTTGAGGTGCAAGGTTAGGTTGTTTATTCGAGATGTTTCCTGCTTCTTAAGGTGGGCTTGTATTGCTATAAACTTCCCCCTTAGAACTGCTTTTGCTGCATCCCATAGGTTTTGGGTTGTTGTATCTCCATTGTCATTTGTTTCTAGGTATTTTTTGATTTCCCCTTTGATTTCTTCAGTGATCACTTCATTATTAAGTAGTGTATTGTTTAGCCTCCATGTGTTTGTATATTTTACAGATCTTTTCCTGTAATTGATATTTAGTCTCATGGCATTGTGGAATAATTGCTTTTTTAATGAGTAAGTAACTGCATGAAGAGAATGAATGAATGAAGAGCAGACATATAATTTTTGAAACACCCAAACCCTTTTGGTTTTGATTCTTCTGGTTAGTATAAGTTTGGTAGTTGAGCAGGATAAATGTTACACCTAATCTCTTTTGGATTCCAGACACTGGTAAATTTTTAAAATTCCTATGTCTTCTGAAGGAGAGGAGGGAGATAACATGGGAGCAACCCCTTGCTTATTCCTCCTCCAAGCCACCTCCCCTAGCAAATAGATGATGTCATGACCCTGAAAGACTTTATGAGGCTGTATCAGAACACAGTATGCTGCTGGATACTTCCATCCAATGATTAAGAAGTTTGACTAGAACAGTTCTACGGGCATGCAACATCTTCTCTCAAGAATGGGAATTGGCAGTGAATTATCGTCCATATGACACATGTGTGTCAATGCATGGTTTGATTGCTTGAAGAGCATCTCCTGAAACAAACTCTGAATGAGAGAAATAGTGCAAATGGGTGGATGTGTCAATGGCAGAGTTCTGGTAAGAAGTATGCAAGTGATCCAGGGACTCTGGATTTGTAGTTTTCTAAGATGGAATTATCAGTTATTTATACCCAGCCAAGTCCTAGCTCATGCCCACATGTGTACAGTGCTCACTCTTAACTAGTTTGTGCAATTTTTTTTGTTTTTTTAAATTTTAAAAATTTTTACCATACTGTCTCTCTGGAAGTTTTAGATATTCTCCAAATATTTGACAATCCAGTTGATCCTGTGATAAATTTACATGAGTGAAGAAAAAAGAAATGAAAAGTTTAGGAATTACCATTTTTCTGATTTCCAAAATGGCCCTTTATATGAAAGAATAAACTTGGTTGCATGAGGTCTATTTTTATGTGAGGATTACTATTTTAAGGGTAAATGTCCTATTGATATACATTAGATAATCCAAGACATATTTTTAGATGATTGCTAATAGTAGATGTATTAAAACTTGATTGTAGAATGAAGAAATTTGCAAATACTTATTTTATAGTATCCCTAAAAATGAATAACCACTACTTCCTTTTCATGAGAGAGTCGTATTTGGTAACATGGAGGGAAGAAATACTTTAGTCTGTGAGGGCTTCTGTCAGGTCAATAACAGAGGGAGAAAGGGAGCATCCAAATGGGAGGCAGCCCTGGCTTACTCACTTGCCACTTGCAAGCCGCTCTGTGAGTTTTTGATCCTCAAACAATCCCAGAAGGGGCCTGAGGGAAAATATTTATCCTCTGTATTAAGGATGAGGAAAATGAAGCATAGAGAGACTGAGTCACTCACCCAAAACCACACAAGTGGCACCTTGTGTAATTACAGATTGAGTTCCCGTCTATGAGTGAATTCCCTTCCATCACCCCACAACCTTTCTCATAAGCAAATAGGCTAGCGGTTCTCTACTTAACCTGCTGCCTATAACAATCACATGAGCAGCTTTCAAAGGACACTGATGTCCAAGTCCAACACCAGAATATCTGCTATAGTTGGTCTGAGGGTGGAGGCCTAGAAGTTAGCTCATTTTTTTTTTTTGCTCCACAGGTGATTCTAAATTGTTATAAATGTTGAGAACCACTGGCCTGAGTCCTAATGGTCCTGCCGTTCATTTTGTCCTTTGTATCTGAGAAATTCTGCTTATTTTGGACTTTTTCATGGGATATTTACAAGAATTTGACAAGGAATTAAATATGCCTTAATTTGAGTGACACAGAGCAACTTCTTGATTATTTTCCATAAGGCAGGGTGTTATTAAACCAGCTCTATTAAGCGGGGTTTAATCATGAGTAAAAAAACAAAGTTTAGCTGTGTGAAAAGTAAAAAAAATCTTTTCAATTTACTGCATCATATCTTTGGAATCGGTTACCAGTGGCCTGGATTGTCAGTGGAGCATTCTTGAGGCAACTGCAAAAACACATGCAGTTCACCAGGTCATGAGCTAATTAGTCCTGGCTCCAGTCCAGGTAACACTTAGATTAGAGGTCACTGTTTATCCTATTGCATTCTTTTGAAAAGTGTATTCCTTATATTGGAATGCCTTTGTGTTTTCCTCTCTATGTTAAAGTGTTTGAAAGCCATAATGTGATGTTTTGCATTTTGAAGTGTAGATCCAAGGACAATATTTTCTTCCATGAAGAATGGGTCCCTTGATTATGTCTTATTGTACATGGAATTTACATGACCCCTGAGACATCTTTAGCTCATTCTTAGAACATGCTCTTCTTTATTTTCTAAATTTCTATTCTCACTGTTATTTTTGTCTTTTTCTACACTGTTTTTCTTTTCTCGCTACCTGCATCTTAGGTCTACCAAGGATTTGTGACATCACAAATGAGTCTCATCCATGCTCAGTGTGTACTGTCAAACTAAAGAGGTCAATTGTCTCTGGACTTAAGTACCAACTTCTTTCTGTTTTACATTCAGTAGTTTTGCCTATTAACGGAGTCATATACCTGTTTGCAATTTTAGAAACAAACTACATAAAACTAAACTTAACAAAGGGTGAAGCTATGCCTCAAAACAACGGCCTATAAACTAATCTTTGAAAGAAAGTCAATTTAATGTGTCCATCTTTTAAAGAGAAACCCTAAACTAAGTGTGTCTCTCAAATACTAAAACTTTGATATCCACATTGATGTCCATTTGATATCCACATTGTATGTATCATCCTTCTTTTGCCTTCAGACCTTTTAGACTTTGTAAAAAGGTGGAAGAATTATGCTGTGAATTCAAGGCTTCTGTTCACACTTTTCCTATAGTATGATATGCCTGATGATGATACTAAATCAGATATCAGGGAAGATGAAGAGCTATAACAGATCAAATTTTAGCTCTTCCCTCCTGTGCCACTCCCACAAATATACGGTCTCTAGAATAAGGGCCAGGATTTGCATTTTTATGATTTAGATAACTCTAAGACATCCTTATTAGCTGATCCCCTACAAATAAAAATAATTTATATAAATACAACAAGATTAAAAAAAATCGACTCTTCATGAAAATTGAGAGGACAAACTGTCACCTTGACCTCACTGTAAAGAAAATGCAGCACTACACTTTTTATTGTTTTCTAAGGAAGGGAAAACCTAGGTAATATTTTGGACTCTTCCAGCCTGGCTGAGCCCGATGAAGGCCTAACTTTCAAGGGTGCTGAGAGCAGAAAAGTCTGCATCTAGGACATGCAATCTGTGCTTTCTTACCAATGCACGTCAACTCACAGATCCTTCTCCCCAGCTAGCTTCCTCCTCTGCTTGTACATTTGTCATGGCCTCCCTCATCAGCCTAGTCTTCATTTCATTCCCTCACCTTCCATCTGAAGTTTCCAGATACGTTTTTATGTTTTATGCATATGGCAGGCTTGACATATTATTTGATTAAAGTTTATATAATACAAAATCTCTTCATTGTAATGATCATTGGCTTTGTTTGTTTGTTTCTTTTTTTGAGCCTACGTCAATGGTTAGTTTTGATCACTGATTGTAAAGTTCCTGCTGAAGAAACTGTTACTGAAACACTTCTGGAAGTATGACTGTAACATGTCACCAAAATGATTATTCACACATACCTCTGGTTGTGCTACTGTTTCAGAATTTTTTGACAGAATTATTTCCCAGCAACGTTTTCCTGAAATTGTGCATTTTTTTATTTGTATGAGGATTCACAGTTATGGAGCATCCATGAATGATGTTACACTTTATTTTTTTATGCTTTAAAAACTGTTGCAAATGAGCAGTGCATTATGACCTCATTGGCTGTACCTGATAAAATTGATGTGAGGTTATGGGTGAGAGGTGAGAGGGAAGTAAGTCACCTCCATAATAGGCACACAGAGGTGTTAGATAGTTTTGTGCCTTTTGTATGTGTGGCCCCTGCTTGTGTGGTGTATAAGGAAGAAATGTAGAACATCTCACAGGATGTATGTGGTTGGCAATTGGAAATTGTGTATCCAGCAGATGTCATCTAATGAGAAAGCTTTGTAGAGAAAGTGGTATTTAGTCTGAAAATTATAGTCTAGTTTGGATTTTGATAGGTATAGGTGCAAGAAGGGAGAGGGTAGTGAGAATAGGAAAAACATGTCAGTGAATACAAAGTCAGAAAGGTGAAAAGGCCTCAGAAATTGTTCAGTTGGAGCATGGGATACAGATGAACAGGATGCTTTGAGAAATGGGATTGGGAAAATTGCTGTTGCTGACTGTGTTCCCATGCATTCTGGGAAATGATATGCTATTTCTCTTCTACTAGAGATTTTGAAGACAATTTTTTGGTGTGAAATCAAAAGCTTGAAGGAGTTCACCTGGAATTTACAGACTGGCTATCTGGTCCAGCTTCTTCTCTTCAGAGATGGAAGTGGTATTTTGTACTGATTACAAACAGAGTGCTGGATTTGGGAGATGGGAGGAAAACAGACTCCTCATATTGACTCTGTGATTTACTAGCTTTGTGAACTTGGGTGAATTACCTAACTTTCCTAAGCTTCATTTTCCACATCTGCAAAACAGCAATGAAGGGGTTGTTGTGAGAGTGAGGAAAACAATGCACGCAGTGCTTAGCTTAGTGGCTGGAATATGGTAAATGTTAAAAATATCTGCTGTTATTATTACTGGTGGTGCTATTGTTATTACTCATGGCTTCAATGCTATAGTTTTTCACTCTTTATTGCTTTGTTTTTACTGAAATTGCCTGGTTTGACTAGAGTCAGTGGTCAACTGTCTTGACCTTGGACAATTTGGTAAATGCAAAGTCCAATGTGCAGAAAGTCACCTAGAAGTCAGCAGTCAGCATCCTGTAAGAATTGGCCACCTGTGCCACACTTCATGTAGTAATTTCTGTTCTGCATCTGGCTGTATCACTCCAGCTTCCAGGTATGGGAATGGTCAGAATAACATAGAGGTAGAGAGATCTCATCCCCAAACTCTCCTTTTTGAATGTTGCTGACTTCAGTATTTTCTAGAAATCTTAAGCAGCTTTCAATCTCAAAGAACAAGACAAACACTTTTTTTTTTCTTTCCAACCATTAAAGTACTTTTATTAAGTCATCAGATGAGCACTTTCTAAGAGAAAAATAGTTTATGTGTGGTTTGGATGCTAAACATTGACTCAGCGTCAGGCCTAAGAGGGAGAAGGCCAAGTGATGCTTGCTGACACATAAGTAATAATAATGGAAAAAATAGACTGTCCCAAGTTTGCTAAATAAAGCCATACGTTTGGAAAAGCACAATACACCAAACTCTTATATGTTCCTTTTTTTTCAAGATTATTCTTTTCATTGCTCACCAGCATTATATTATTTTCTTCCAATACACACATCTTCCCAAGTTCCACTGTTGCCATAGTCTTCTGCCATGTGTTCTATATTTTTGTACAGTGCTAGTCATGATTAGGTAGTATTAAGCAATACTTAGGAAAGCAAGCCATTTGAAATGACTTTTTTGGCTAGGAATTTCACAGAGACTATATGTAGTTGTTCTTCTTATTTTAGGGATTAATTACTTTACTAATACAAACAATGACTGCAATATAAGCTTTGAGAGACTGACTCACTAAGGAAACAAGACAGGTTTGGTAATGGATCCCTTGCCATTGACGCACATGGAGAACTTTCTGAAAAATGGTAATCTGAGAAATTTAATTGCTGCAAATCTGTTCACATAAAACTGATACATACATCAGGAAGTGGGCCATAATTAAATATTCTGTGATTATATGTCAGTTTCAAAGGGATTGCATTGCACAGCCAGGTGTTTTGCTTTCTTGAAATGAAAGAAAAGGGAAGTAAATCAGTTTTCAGTTATTTGGTGCCATTTTCTGTTTTCCTCCCCTGGGAAGTCATTCTGTAGATCTACAAAATGAGTCAAGGATGAGAAGACAAATTTAGGAGATGAAAAAGCAAGGAAGAAATGTTTATTTGCTATGTACCACCTTTGTGATGTTGGAGTCCTTCACCTTTCTGTGCCTCATTTTTTTTCTTTCATATATGGGAAAGACTCTTATAAGCCAGTGCTCTGGGGGAGAGTTACCCAGAATCCCTTTAGGGAACATTACAGATAGAGGCTGGGAGAGAAAAGGACCGATATCAACCAGCACAAAGCCATGTTTTATGTTGGACTTTTATTGATTTTGAACAAAGTATTCTTTGGAAACAGTATTTTTAAACCAATGGACTGCTAGGTAATGTCTAAGTCCTTTGTAGCATTAACATCCCTTGAATCTATGTCTTTGATGACTACTTAGAAGCACCTGAGCAAGGGGAAAGAGAGAGAAATAAAAAAAACAAAGAAATTGATTCAGTTAGTTATCCTTTAAAAAAACCCTCTTTCATTAATTATTTTTCTTTAAATGTTTATTTACTTCTATTATCTTGAAAGCAATATGTATTAGTTGCAAAAAGGTGAAGGAAAGATTTCACAAATACTTGCAATATTTTAAAGATCTACTTCTCTTGGTAGCTTTTCACTTTTAACGATAAGTCTCTGAGACAAGCACCCAATCTTTTATTTCTGTTCTTTTTTATTACTTGGCTTTCCCAAGAAATAAGCCTGTATCTTATTTGTAACTTCTTTTCCTATGTCATTATTGAGATCATTCTATCAGTCAAAAGATCCTACTACTTAGGAAAGAATGGAAGCTAAGGGCTTATGCTCACAGGTGCTTATATACATATATATAAATGTAAAAAGAATATTTATAATCCAGCAATTTCACTTCTGGGTATTTATCTGAAGAAAATGAAAACACTAATTTGAAAAGATGTATGCACTCCAATATTCATTGCAGCATTACTTACAATAGCCAAGATATGAAAGCAACCTAACTGACCATTGATAGATTAATGGATAAAGAATATATATATATATATATATAATGGAATATTACTCAGGCATAAAAAAGAGTGAAATCTTGCTATTTGTGACAACATGGATGGACCTGAAGGATATTCTGCTAAGTATAATAAGTCAGACACAGAAAGACAAATACTGTATGTTTTCATTGATATGTGGAATCTGAAGACCAAAACAATCAAACATAAAATAGAAACAGATACAGAGAACAAACTAGTGGTTGCCAGAGGAGAGGGAAATGCAGGGCTGGACAAAACAGGTGAAGGAGATTAAGAGGCAGAAACTACCAGTTATAAACTAAGTAAGACACGGGGATGTTATTCACAACACAGGGAATATAGTCAATAATATTGTAATAACTTTGTATGGTATGTAATCTACAAAAACATTGAATCACTCACAATATGTACACCTAAAACTAGTATAATATTGTTAAGTCGACTATACTTCAACAAAAAAAAGAATATTTAAACACTCACTTCATTTCTATTAGTACATAGTTGTGGTCGAAGGACAGTTGGTGTAAGTGTTTGTGTGTCTGTGTGTGTTGTGGGAAGCAAAGTAGAAGAAGTGGGAGGCAATTTAGTGTGCTGGAATGTCATGGAATCCCATGTTTTGTGTCGTGTAGATGATGCATTGTAGGAGTGATATTATTGTGAAACTTTGCTCAGTCCCAGTTTCCCTCAAAGTGGGTTTGGTTCAGTTTTTCCATTTCAGTGTTAAGGGTATGACAATGTATCATGATCTTGTCTAAAAGCAGCCTCTCACAGATTACGATGAAGAAAACAAACTCACTCACCTAATATAAACACATAGAAAGCTTCTCCTCAAACTTACACCATCAGATCTGTCTCATTGTATCCTGGGTGCCAAGTGAGAATTGACAACTGTCTACCAAAGGTTTCAAGAAAAGAAGACTTTGCTTTTATTTTAGAAAATGCCTTTTTACAATATTCAGACAATGCTCACTCCCCTGACATTATATATGTTTGTAATGATGACTGTCCTCATTTCCTGTTATAACTAGTTCCACATAGCTTTCACTGTAGACTTTGTTAGTTCTTTCCCCTTGGGAACATACTCTTTCTTTGAGGTTCAAAGACCTCTATGTCATAGGCTACCTGGTTTTGCTTAACAGTTGGTCCTACTCTGATCTTGTTTCCAGTGCTCCTAAGTTAGGCTCTTTATGCTTTGTGTCTTTTGTCCAAACTTCCACCTTATACTTGGAGAGGCAATATGATGTATAGAAGAAAAATCTTGGATTTGATTTAGAAGACCTGGATTTGAGTCTTGATTATTCCCACTGCTTGGTTGTATGATGTGGAGAAATTCACAGCATTACTTTCTTAAATTTCTTTACCTGTAAAATGGGGTAACAGCTATTATCTTCTCCCCAACACTGTTGAGTTGTCATAATGAGATGCGCTATAAACTGGGCAGCAGTAGTCAAATTACATTATTACTATCATTATCATTATTATTATTACACTTCTAATAATTGAGTTGCTCTCATTTTTCTATCCCCCAAATTTAATTGGCTCTCTAGGAAATTTTGTGAGATCAGGATAGAGCCGTGGCCTTGCTGATCTTCTCAGAACCTAGAAATCTGACCATATGAGCCCTGATAACTATGATTAAGACTTGATTTTGATGTAAGACTTGCTCAGCATTGATGCCTTTCTGCATTTCTGTCTGCTCCAGGCTCACGTTATTCTCTGCCTGCCTAATTTTTTTTTTAAATTGAGGTTTAGTTGCTTTACAATGTTGTGTTAATTTCTGCTGTACAACGAAGTGATTCAGCTATATGTATATATATATCCCCATATCTCCTCCCTCTTAGACCTCACTCCCATCCCCACATCCCACCCATCTAGGTTGCCAGAGAACACCAAGCTGAGCATCCTATGCTATACAGCAGGTTCCCACTAGCTAGCTATTTTACACATGGTAGTGCATATATGTCAATCCCAATCTCCCAGTTCATCCCACCCCCACCTCCCCATGTCCACAGGTCTGTTCTCTACATCTGCATCTCTACTTCTTTCTGGCAAATAGGTTCATCTGTACCATTTTTCTAGATTCCATATATATGCATTAATATATGATATTTGTTTTTCTCTTTGACTTACTTCACTCTGTATGACAGTCTCTAGGTCCATCCACATCTCTACAAATGACCCAATTTCATTCCTTTCTATGGCTGAGTAATATTCCATTGTATATATGTACCACATCTTCTTTATCCATTCATCTGTTGATGGACATTTAGGTTCCTTCCATGACCTGGCTATTGTAAACAGTGCTGCAGTGAACAGTGGGGTGCATGTGTCTTTTTGAATTATGGTTTTCTCAGGGTATATGCCCAGTAGTGGGATTGCTGGGTCATATAGTAGTTCTGTTTTTAGTTTCTTAAGGAACCTCCATACTGTTCTCCATAGTGGCTGTATCGATTTACATTCCCACCAGCAGTGCAAGAGGGTTCCCTTTTCTCCACACCCTCTCCAGCATTTATTGTTTGTAGATTTTTTGTTTTTTGTATCTATTTCCTCTACTAGAATCTGAGTTTCATGGAGGAGACAATATGCTGTATACATCCCTACCTTTGTACCTTAGCATAGCAAAGCAACTGTGGCATAGCAAATGTGCAATAAACTTTGTTAAAAAAAACTTGCTTATTGTATA